GTCTTTATTTAGTTTCTTTTTTTTGATGGCCTCCCTTCTCCCCTTATGGCCATCCTCTCCACACCATTATGTTTTTTTTTTTTGTGTGTGTGTATATGTTCTACATGGGAGAGAGAGAGAGAGAGAAAAACAGAGAGAGAAGTAATTAGAAAGATAGAAAGACTGAAATAGCGATTAGGATTATATTAAATATACACCAACAAAACACAGGACCACACACCCAACATCTGTCKGCTCACCTGAAAATTAAATGGATAAATACATAGAAGGCATATACACACATACCCATACATATATAAAGATATACATACATACATGCCTACATTCATAAATATTGTCAGTATATACACGTAGACATATATACACACTCAGTGACCAGTCAGAACCCCCGGATCAGAGCACCTGTTTGTGAGCAGTTGTGAACATGCGTGTATATACAAGATTTCTCCAATGGAATATTTAATAGTGACTGTGGAGGACCGAGACCCAACCCCCAAGACACGAGGCAGACATAGGTGGCACTTATCTTAATACAAACACAACTAGGGCCTGCCTGGGTATGATAAATCTAGGCTGACTGGAGCCGGGGTGGACTGAGCTGGGCCTTAGAATGCAGAAATGTCTTGTGCTACACTGTTAATTCAGATTTCTACATTATTGCATTAGATATTTTATAAACTATATTGCCAAAAGTATTTGTGCACCCATCCAGTGCACAAAGCAAGGTCCATAAAGACATGGATGTCAGAGTCTGGTGTGGATGAACTTGACTGGTCTTCACAGAGCYCTGACCTCAACCTGATAGAACACCTTTGGGATGAATTAGAGCAGAGACTGAGAGCCAGGCCTTCTGTCCAACATCAGTATGTGACCTCACAAATGTGCTTCTGGAAGAATGGTCCAAAATCTCCATAAACACTCCTAAACCTTGTGGACAGCCTTCAGAACAGTTGAAGCTGTTGTAGCTGCAAAGTGGGGAAGCAAGATCATATTGAACCCTATGGATTAGGAATGGGATGTCACTTAAGCTCATATGAGTTAAGGCAGGTGAGTCAATACTTTTGGCAATATAGTGTGTGTGCGTGTTTAATTTGTTTTGTTGAACTTTCATTTCAAAGACCTATTTTATTAATATATTTTATCTTAGATTTTGGGGAATGGCATTTAATTTTTTGTGAATGACCCACACTTACTGTATATATAATGTCACTCTGTGTTTCCGAACAGTTCAGCAGGGTCTTGTCTACAGAGTCTGCGGTGAAGACGGTAAATGGGCACAAAAGAATACCAGCGAATGTGACGATGATCCCCGTGAGGTGTGTGTCTGTGAATAAAACTGTGTATTTAGCAAATGAACTCTTGCTGTTTAAAGTTAACTGTGGCAGATGGTTGAGCAACATTGTGACTCTGACAGTCTAAAATAACACAACCTGAAAAGTTTCCATTTGTTCATACACTTCATTTT